ACAGCCTGCGCGGTCAACAGGGATTGTCGCATATTCATTCTTTTGTAGGTAATGGGGGCATTTACAAGAAAATGTCATACAAGATTGTAATTTTTGTCGTTTGTGGGTTAACAAAGGTTCTACAAACCGAAACAAGGGCCTTAATTGTTGAATATTGACAGATTTTTTTTTGTTTTTTGTTTTACTAATTTAAATAATGCATACAAATTTCATACAGATCGGATGATAATTTTGTTGTTCGCGCGTTCACAAGGTTCGACAAAGTGAAACAAGGGCCACAACTCTAGACGTAATTCACGGAAATTGCAGAAATTTAATAGGCGTCTTCGTTTCACTAATTCAAATGATGCAAATGAATTTCACAAAGTGAAACAAGGGTCATAACTCCAGAAGAAACTAACGGACGGGAGAGACGATAATATGCGACCACATTTCCATGTGGGCGTATCAAAAGGCGATGTAATCGTCACCGGAAGAATTGAAAAGGAGTAAAACGGAGTCATAATTTATCAAAATTATGCTTAATAGCGAAGTCAGTACTAAACAAGTTATCGTAACAGATTGTATAAATTTAATTCATCTTGTTACCATGGATACCGTTCTCTCATGTTCGAGACTCATGAAAGTGTTCTCATGTTCTTCCGCCGTTCTCGAACCTGTGCGAACACTGTTTCGAATACACCCCTACGCGCAAGCAAATCATTCAAATAAAACTGAACAATATTTTAGTCTCGAAATTACCTAGCACTAGTAAGTATAAAGGATCTATCCGACAAACTCTAACACCAACTCTAGGTTTATGCAGAATTAATATAACACAACATGCACAGATGGCAATAGAATGAGACGAGTGCTCAGGAAAAGGGCGGAAACGGAAGAATACTACCTGACCTACTTGATTCTAGGACATATATATAGCATGGACCTACTTGATTCGACCAATTTAATACAAGAACATGAATGGCATAGTTTGTGTCAAGTGAATTTAGTGAACTTTAAACCCCATTTCCTCTCCCTCTCTCTACAGAGATAAATACTTTTCGTGTTACATACAATAGCAATTATTGGGCATTATTAAATAAAATATATTAAAAGGAAATGAAATTTTGTTACCTGGTTTTCTTTGTGGAGTACATGCTAACATCAATGACTGGGGAAACAAATAACGAAACTATAGTTGGTGGTTTCTTGCAATTATAATATATATCATTTCATTTTTGTATTTAATATTTATATGCATAAAAGTTGTATTTTATTTTTAATTTTACTAACTGTGATATTGTTTTTATTTATGCATATAATGTTTTTCTGTGATATAATTTAGCCTGTCTTGTAATATTAACCATATGGTTGGCGCAATATAGCCCGGTTGGAGCTGACGTGTCATAAAACCACATTTCATTTCATTTCAATTCCACATTTTGACCATTTTCTGGATGTCAATGATCCGTTTCCCTGGATAGTATTCGCCCCAGAATTCTCATTCTCATCCAAATTTAACATTTCAGGTCTACATCTCAAAACCTGGTGACCTCCTGGACTGGCTTTAGTAGAACGATGATGTATATCAATTTCATCCCTGATCTCTATGACACCTGTGGTGGAAGTGGAGGGCAAATCGTAATCAGTTTGGGTTCCAGCCCCGAGGACCTCTGTAAACTTTGTTTTTTGGTGATGACTTCATTTCCGAGCTTGAAAAGGACGCCCTTGTGTTTATCATGACCTCTCATATTGGAAGATAACATAAATGGCATGTGTGTTGACGGTTGTGCATATCTCTTGGTCAGGAAAGTTGTAGGCACCATCGCTATTGTAAATCATTTGACAAGCCAGCGTGAACAGGGAGACCTATGATTGGTCAGCAATGTATCAGATTCCATACTGGGAGTGGGGGTGAAAAAACTGTTGTAGTGTTACATAATCAGATTATTTCAACTTACTTATCCTGCGGAAATACAGCTATATAGGAGATATTTTGAAATTTATAGGCACTGCATGTTTCAACATTTTAGATTTGACCACAATTTGGCACTTGAACCTATGTTATACAGAGAAAAACTGCGTGGTTTTCGATGAAAGTGTTAAAAGTCTAATATTGCATCATGATTACTGTTTTAAAGTATTTTCGTGTTTGATTTATATTGAATTCATTTCATCTTTTTGAAGAATGCATTTATGTTCAAAAATAAAAATGTTCTGTGGAATTCAAAATTCATGTGCTTCTAAATTATCAGATTCCAATAGGGGAGTGGGGATGAAAAAAGCTGTTGTAGTGTTACATAATCAGATTATTTCAACTTACTTATCCTATGGAAATACAGCTATATAGGAGATATTTTAAAATTCAAAGGCACTGCATGTTTCAACATCTTCTTAGATTTGACCACAATTTGGCACTTGAAACTACGTTAACAGAGAAAAACTGTGTGGTTTTCGATGAAAGTGTTAAAAAGTATAATATTGCATCATGATTACTGTTTTTAAGTATTTTCGTGTGGAATTCAAAATTCATGTGCTTTTAAATTATCAGATTCCAAACTGGGGAGTGGGGATGAAAAAAGCTGTTGTAGTGTTACATAATCAGATTATTTCAACTTACTTATCCTATGGAAATACAGCTATATAGGAGATATTTTAAAATTCATAGGCACTGCATGTTTCAACATCTTAGATTTGACCACAATTTGGCACTTGAAATTACGTTAACAGAGAAAAACTGTGTGGTTTTCGATGAAAGTGTTAAAAAGTCTAATATTGCATCATGATTACTGTTTTAAAGTATTTTCGTGTTTGATTTATACTTATCCTATGGAAATACAGCGATAAAGGAGATATATTTTAAAATTCATAGGCACTGCATGTTTCAACATCTTAGATTTGACCACAATTTGGCACTTGAAACTACGTTAACAGAGAAAAACTTTGTGGTTTTCGATGAAAGTGTTAAAAAGTCTAATATTGCATCATGATTACTGTTTTAAAGTATTTTCGTGTTTGATTTATATTGAATTTATCTCATCTTTTTACAGAATGCATTTATTTTCAAAAATAAAAATGTTTTGTTTAATTCAAAATTCATGTGCTTTTAAATTTCTGTCTGAAATTCCGCAGTTTTCTGATGTATTATAGTGTTTGCAGAATGCCGCACAGCTCATCTGAAAATGCATAGATTTTCATAATCATTGGCCAGGGCATTGCATATATGTTTTTTTATTAGATAACAAATGATTTGTTTAAACTGCAGAAACATGTGAGTTATATAGGACTAAGCCTAGTAATTATTTCCCCTTATTTCATGATGGACGAATGTAGTGCGGGTTATAAATAGACAATTTTTCCCTTATTTTTTTCTCCCCTCTTCCTGCATTTTTGTGTTGACATTTTGGTCTAGAAGTGGAGAAAAGGGATCAAATTTGCAATTTCATAGCAGTTTAGGGTAATACTGATGATATTACAGCGGAGTGATAGGGGGTTTAAAGTGTCTTTCTGCAGAGCAATCATTGTGTCGGAAGTGAGATTTTCACCCCAGTCAACATCAAATCCCCCGTAGCAAAAAATGTATAGCTTGTGATATAACGTTTTAAAATACTTTTTCGATTCTGCATACTCTTATGAATCTGCATGAATCTTAACTTATGAATCAAACTTCTTTTGGCCACCCAATATGGCGGAAATTCAAGATAAACTAGGTACATCAACTATGAAAGAAAGACCTAGCAGATCGATGTAGAACTTTTGAAGTGCCAAACAAAAAGATGGTCATAGATAAAATGATGTACCAAACATCAGAGAATTATGGACTGTTGGACTTTATTTAACATTTACACAGTTACAAGAAAAACGTCTTGAAACAGTATCAAGAATAGGACGGTATTAGACCCTGCACCACAGTTGACATTTTTAAGAAACAAATTGAAAACAAATTCATAGAAGCATTTCATATTAAGAGTCATTCCACGAGAAAACCATGCGGAAGGTGGGGGTCGGCAGATCAAGTTCATCTCTGGGGCATTTTATGGACTCCTCAAGACTACTTCACAGCCAGGAGGGCCGATCTCAAAATTTCACCTATATTGAGAAACAGTCTCTGGGTGATTTTTGGCCAATTTTGCCATTTTTCAAGTCATTTTTGGTCAATTTTCATCCACCTATTGTAGCGAATCTAGGGTTTGGATGGAAATGGTGGTGATTGGTGATGTTAGTGGGGGTCTTCTTGTGCCCCAGTGTGAAGACCATAAATTCGCATCTATTCCCTGGGAGTAATGCTCAGCAAAATTGTAACATATGGCGACTAAAACCGAAAATATACACCTGCGAAAATTAGCTCTATTTTCTTTGATGCGGGGGTAGGTCAAAATATCGGAATGGTTTTATGCACAGCTCGACACACTCTATTGATATAAACAATAAAATCTCTGTCACCTCTCTCCAATCAATGCGAAATAATAAGTCAAAGTTGGTGAATTTTCTCTATTGTAATCTCTCATTCTCTATGAAATGGCCAACTACTTTCCTTCAGGGTAAGCTGATCATTGCTCCCAGAGAATAGATGCGACTTCATGGTCTTCACACAGGGGCACAGGAAGACTCCCACTAACATCACCAGTCACCACCATTTTCACCCAAACACTAGACTCGCCACAATAGGTGGCTGAAAATTGGCCAAATATGACCTGAAAAATGTCAAAATTGGCCAAAAATCACCTAGAGGCTGTTTCTCAATAACGGTGAAATTTTGACATCGGCCCTTCTGGCTGTGAAGTAGTTAAGGGGAGTCCATAAAATCCCCCGGGGATGAACTCGATCTGCCGAAGCCCCCATCTTACCGATTCTGCATGGTTTTCTCATGGAATGACTCTTAATGTTTTCTAAGCATGTATTATTTTGTTTTTCACAGCCTTACTTTTCACATTGTAGGAGGAGCGAACGTATATCATTAATGTCCTATCGACAATCTTCGCTCAACTGAATCAAGTGACATTAGCATATTGAATGTTATATGCGGAGCTTAAATGCTCGTATTTCATTTAGTGAACACGACAGATAAGGACATGGATACATTCTTTAAGATGTTGCTATATTTTATAGGTTTAACAACATTATGGACAAAGACAAACTGTTCTACTACAGAAAAACCAGGTAAGGTAGTAAAATTTATCTTCGAAAACTGGGGAAAGGTTTTTGGGTGACGACCTTAACCCAAGATATACCAGTTATGGCCACCGGGGGTAACGCACATAAAACAGTTCACTGATTTCTGAATTATCCAACATCTGGACCGAGAAAAAGATTTCGGTTGTTAGACTGAACAACATCAGATGACCAGTGTAAATATTTGGGAATTATACATTTGGCAGATAATGTTTCTCGGGATTTTCCGGTTTCCCCATGTCAGTGGTGCAGGGCGGGGGGCCTAACAAGGCCAGTAGTCTAGTAGCTCGGTGGGACGAAAAACCGAGGTCCCGTGTACACACTTGCGTACACGTGAAGGAACCATTGACAGCTGGAATTCGAATTAAGGGCAAAATGTTCCCCATAGCATAGTCTATGGTGTATTCCCAGCGCCGAACAATAAGACGTTAAATCCCATTTCATATGATTTCAATTCACTTCACTAATGCTAGCTTCCCATTGTCGTGTTATGCGTTACGATAGGATTGTAACACGAGCGGGAGATCTTCCTTTGTTCTTTTCGTTGAATAATCAGATTTTTTTCCCGCTACTAATCTTACTGGAGCGTCACTGTGCAATAACTAGACATTTTCAGTGTTATTGCATACTTTTGCTGGTTTACACTAGGTTTAGTAGAAATCATCTAGAGAAGTGGGATGGGTTTTCTGTGCAATAACAGAAAGCATGTTGAGCAGGTGTCAATGTCATTTATAGCAAGCTTCATTCGTTAACAGGTTTAACACCTCGGCCTACAGGTTAAACCTGTTAACTCATGAAAGCCGTGCTATAAATATAACTTGTCCCTGTTCAATACGATCAACACGATTGTTGCAATTGACCTCAATATAACATATAATAATACCTGACAGGATCACCACGATTACTCCACGATTAAAACCACAAACATTAGTTTGGTTCAAATTATGCTAGAATGCATTCGTTTCAGATCCGTGCATCACTGCCTCGCCGTTTCCTCATGTCCAGAATAGATCAACTACGTACAATAAAACCTTTAATATTAATGATAGATTCATAACTCCTGGTTGGTATGGAACGCGGGGTTTATCAATACCCCACACACCTCCCGAATACAAGCATTGTGGTACAAAATATCCCATATATCTAAAAGGTAAGTCTTATTATATAAAGTTTCATGTAAAACGAAGTAGGAGAGAGATAGAGAGAGGGGGGGGGGAGAAACTATTTCGGAACTAACATGTGGTTCAATTAATTTTAATTCAATAAAACACTTTAGCGGTGGAAAGGAACCGGAGATACCCACGAGATTGGAAAGGCACCCCTACTCCTTGCCACTTACAAACGGAGAATCGAAACCACGCCACTTGACTCAATGACAGACCTTATGACGCAACGTTCACGTGTTAACCATTCAGCCACCCCTATTCCAGGGTGGTAAGCTGCCACTGGTTGCTCTTATTGCTGTCATTTATCATCTAGCGAATAATCTGGCGCGTATTATCCCAAATAGCTTCGTTATGGTCTTTTAATGCCAAATGCGAATCGTTGACATGTTTAACCAGCGGCTGCCAGGCAGGATACGCCCACATTTTTGAGAGATGGATAGAGAACTAGCTACAAAAGTGATTTGTCCTACAATCAAGGGCCATAATTCATGAAGTTACAATTCGATATGCGCAAGTATCGAAAGGAACCAAGATCTTTGGGTTATAAACATGCATTTCAAGTTTCATCAAAATCAGATTAAAATTGTAACCTCTACAGGGTCCACAACCTTGAAATACCATATTTTTACACCTTTCGCGTACAAGCGGCGGCCACTTTGTCCGGCAGTTTTGGTTTGATTTTCAGGAAATTTGAACTCAACCTTTATTATGGTGTTACGGTGATATATTCAAACGATTTTTAAAATCAGATAATAAGTGTGACCTTCAGAGGGACCGCAAGCTAAAAGAGGTGATTTTTCGTATAATCAGGGGCCATAATTCATGAAGTTACGATCCGATATGCGACAATATGGAAAGGAACCAAGATCTTTAGGTTATAAACATGCATTTCAAGTTTACACCTTTCGCGTACAAGCGGCGGCCACTTTGTCCGGCAGTTTTGGTTTGATTTTCAGGAAATTTGAACTCAACTTTTATTATGGTGTTACGGTGATATATTCAAACGATTTTTAAAATCAGATAATAAGTGTGACCTTCAGAGGGACCGCAAGCTAAAAGAGGTGATTTTTCGTATAATCAGGGGCCATAATTCATGAAGTTACGATCCGATATGCGACAATATGGAAAGGAACCAAGATCTTTAGGTTATAAACATGCATTTCAAGTTTCATCAAAATCGAATTAAAATTGCGACCTCTACAGGGTCCACAACTTTGACATATACCATAGTTTTACACTATTCGCGTACAAGCGGCGGCCATTTTGTCCGATTTTAGTCCGATTTTCACGACATTTGAACTCAACCTTCATTACGGTGTAACGGTGATATAATCAAACGTTTTTTTAAATTGGATAATAATTGTGACCTCCAGAGGGTCCACAAGCTAAAAACGTGATTTTTCGTACAATCAGGGACCATAATTCAGGAAGTTACGGTCCGATATGCGCGAATGTCGAAAGGAACCAAGATCTTTGGGTTATAAACTTACATTTCAAGTTTCAACAAAATCGAATAAAAATTGTGACCTCTATAGGGTCCTCAACCTTGATATACCATATTTTTACGTTATTTGAGAACGAACGGCAGCCATTTTGTATGTCAATTTTTGGCCGATTTTCACGAAATTCGAATTCAGCCGTCCCTAGGGTGTAACGGTGATATAATAATACGTTTTTTTTTAATTGGATAAAAATTATGACCTCTATAGGGTCCACAAACTAAAAACGCGATTTTACGTACAATTAGGGGCTATAATTCAGGAAGTTACAGTCCGATATGCGCGAATATTGAAAGGAACCCAGATCTCTGGGTTATAATCTTACATTTCAAGGTTCAACAAAATCGGATAAAAATTGTGACCTCTATAGGGTCCACAACCTTGATATACCATATTTTTACGCTATTTGAGAACGAAGGGCGGCCATTTTGTCTGTCAGTTTTGGGCCGATTTTCACGAAATTCTAACTCAGCCGTCCTTAGGGTGTGACAAGAACAGCTGTCTAGTCGTTCAGATTGGATGAAAAGCTGACGTCTCGTGTACACATTGGCGTGCACGTAAAAGATCCCTTGAGAGTTGGAATTCGATAGGCCTATGTATAGGAGTCGGCCGTATAGTGCCGCTGTCAGGGCAAAATTTCCCTCATAGCACACTATATGGAATGCCCGTTTTCATTGGCCCAGTTCGGAGCAGTAGGACGTTAAACCCCATTTTATTTCATTTCAGTATAGGCCTACCGTATGTTTGAATGTTTTGACAAGATTTATTTAGCCTAAATTACAATGTTTTGAGAAGGATTTGAAGCAAAATTATGACAAATTAATTAGTTTGAATATGTGTTTAGTCCTATTATAATACCATAAATCACCCAGTTTGTACACAGGAATGTATCTTTAAATAGGCATAGGTACATGTACTATTGGATTGCTATGATAATATTAAACAAAGTCTCGGATACGTCCAATTAAATGGCATGGGTGCTAAATATTTAAGAACAGATTTTTATTGACTCATCTTAAACAGGTAAACACAATATCAATATGCATTGCACATCTTCATAACATCACAACAATATTCATAAAATTTAGGTTACCGGTACAATAATTTACATACCTGTAATTAATTAAGAAATAGATAGATATGGTATATCAAGGTTGTGGACCCTCTAGAGACCACAGTTTTTATCCAATTTGGATGAAACTTTAAATATATGTTTTTATCATTAAGATCTTGGTTTCTTTTGATAATTATTAACATTAGTGTTACTTTGCTCTTATTTTTTGAAAAAATTTTCACAAGTTGATTTCCTTTATTTTGTTAATGTAGAATGGTAACGAACTGCTCTTTTCATTTTCTTTGTTTTGTTTGTTTCGTTTGAATTTGATTTATCTGTTTAGTTTTTGATTGTTTAATTTTTGTTAATGAAGTTGATTCTTTTAAACTTCGTTTTTATTTTTGAACTCTACTTGGTGTAGGTGTTCATCAGGTAATACCTCGACTGAGTTCAATATTGAGATTAGCCGGTTGATTTGTTGGATATAAACCTTTGAATAATAGCGCCTAACAGGCAGCTGTGTTTAATTATGTTCTCCTGATTTTGATTGTTTCTGTGTGTTTGAAGTATATGTTTGTGATATGCGCTTAGAAACACTTCACGTGTAATGAAGCGCTATATAAATCGAACAATAATAATAATAATAATAATAACGGTGATATAATAATACGGTTTTTTAAATCGGACAAAAATGATGACCTCTATAGGGTCCACAAGCTAAAAACACGATTTTTCGTACAATCAGGGGCCATAAATCAGGAAGTTACCGACCGATATGCACGAATATCGAAAGGAACCGAGATCTTTGGGTTATAAGCATACATTTCAAGTTTAAACCAAATCGGATAAAAATTGTGACCTCTACAGTGTTCACAAGCTAAAAATGTGATTTTTCGTACAATCAGGGGCCATAATCCATGAAGTTACAGTCCGATACATGCCAATATCGAAGATCTTTGGGTGATAAACCTATATTTCAAGTTTCATTGAAATCGGATAAAAATTGTGACCTGTAGACTGTTCACAAACAATTGTGGACGGACGTCCGGACGGACGGACGGACAGGGGCGACGACAATATACGTCCACATGAAAATGTGGGCGTATAAAAACATGCGACTGGCATGTAGGATATGCCCACATTTTGCAAAAGATGGACGGAGAACAGGGACAATCAACAGGGCTTATCCGCTCATTGTCCTAACGCTTATTTTCCCAAATTGCTTCATTATGGTCTTTTAATGCCAAACGCGAAGAGGTGACGTATTTAAAAACAAGTGGCTAGCATGTATTTTTCAAGAGATGTACAGAAAACAGGGAAAATCAATAGGGCTCATCTGCTTATTGTCCCAATGCTTCAAATCGTATTTGAAACAGGGCTGTATTTCAACCGTTGTTTAAATCGGATAAAACTTAACACCTGTACAGTGTCCACTAGCAATTGTGAACAAACACACTGACGGATGTATAAAAGTGATAGTTTAACGGATTACTTAAACTGCAGGCTAATGACATAACTTAATCCAGTTCTGACAGTTAACCAAAATAATAATTTTTTATACGCCCACATATCATAAATGAGGATGTCTGGGCAGTGGATTCACATACAAAATGCTATTTCTCCTTGTTTTTTGACATTGGCGAATCGATATTCAAACTTGAATCTCAAAAAAGCAGATTTAATGGATGTATATCTACAGAATGTCTCCAAAACACATTTGATGAACTCGTTTTCCTAATGCCAACGAAAGATATCATAAATGAGGATGCCTAAGCAGTGGATTCACATGAAAACTGCTCTTTCTACTGTTTTTTTTTAATATTGACGAATCTCGAAAAGCAGATCTGATGGATGAATATCTACAGAATGTCTCCAAAACAGATTTGATTAAATCCTTTTTTCTAAAACATATCATAAATGAGGATTCCTGAGTACTGGATTCATATAAAAAAAAATGCTATTTCTCCTTAATTTTTAAAATTGGCGAATGTCTTCAAACTTGAATCGAAAAAAAAAAAAAATTTGATGGATGTATATCTACAGAATGTCAATAAAACACATTTGATTCAATCAGTTTTCTATAACGAACTAAAGATGTCATAAATGAGGATGGAGACTTGAATCTCAAAAAAGCAGATTGATCTATGTATAGCTACAACATATCTCCAAAACACCTTTTACTAAATTAGAGCAGTTTTTATGTCAACCAACTGCTCAGACATCCTCATTTATGATATCTTTAGTTCGTTTTAGAATACTTAATATTTCATCCAATGTGTTTTGGAGACATTCTGTAGATATACATCCATTATATCTGCTTTTTTGAGATTCGCCAATATCGGAAATCCAGTTAGTTGTTTTTCGTTATTCGCCAATATCGAAGTTCACCAATAACGACAAACGAACATCGAGCTTAATATTCAGCGTTTGTGGCCTTTCGTTCCTGAATACCCCCCCCCCCCCCACCTCCACCTTTCTCCGGAAACCTCGTGAACGGGGTAGCGGACAAACACTATCAACTCAGCTTCCGTCACCCAGCTCTCCATTCCGTAAACGTCGTGAACGTAATTTGGTGTACAGCATTGGCAACCTCTCGTTCCAAAGCCTCACACCCCTTTCCGACTTCCGTGTTTGAAATTGTTTTGAAAAGGTTAGGGATGAACACTGATGATTTTTAGCATCCCAGAGACATATTACCTGTCCAGAAAAGCTTGTGAACAAGATGGAAATCAGATTCCGTGAAGGCATAAGAGAACAGTGGGGTTTAACGTCCACTCGACAAATACTTCGCTTGTGCGTGGATGTCTTTAGTAGTGGGAGGACACTGGGGGACCGGGAGAAAACCCACCATGGTAGAAAAGGCGACCCTACACCTTGTCACATACAAGCAAGGAATCGAAACCACGACACTTGACTTAATGGCAGACTTTATCATCTAATGCGCAGGAGTTAAACTGTTAAAACGTATTGTCTGTTGACACATTACTGTATTTGTACAGCGTGAATAGTTTGAGACCAATAACGTTATCGATAAACCCGACAGAGAAAGAAAATCTACCGTATAGTGTCGCTCTGAAACTATTGCGCATTAGTAAAAACTGAACTTCTGAAAATTCTTCAAACTTGTTTTGTTGAACTGTTTGGTTTGTGTTGTAGATGTGTGTAGCGAGACCTATAGCTGCGTTTAGCAATGGTAAATGTTTTAAATTGATCTTTTTCGTCGAACCTTAACACCACGAGGTCCCATAAACTCTACTATTCTCTTGTAAATGTCCCATATTCTAACATAGTCGAATTCTAAGAACATCGATATAACCATTGTGCCTGGGTAAAAATTGAAAATTGGCATCTGGCGTAGGGGTAAAGAGTGGTGCATAATTTGGGTGCATTCCATTAGAAATGTCTAGTGAAGCCGTTAGATAATAAGGTCTGTAATTGAGTCACGTTGCGTGGTTTCGATTCCACACTTGGTACAATATCTTATAATTTTAAGGATTTACAGTAGTTTGTGACCAGATTCACATACCGTGTCAGGCGGTCATTTAGCTATTTCGAAAACCAAAAAAAAAAAAAAAAAATAAACAATATGAACGTTTTGAGGTTGACGATTTTTATACGCCCACATTCTCATATCGTCGCCCCTGTCCATCGGTTCTTTCATATTTTATTTGTGGACACTCAACAGGTCACAATTTTTATCCAATTTTGACCAAACTTGAAATCATGGATATGGCCACTGACTGTACGACAAATCGAGGATTTAGCTTGTGGGCTTTCTAGAGGTCACAACCGTTCAAATATATCACCATTACACCACAATGACGGTGGAGTTTGAATCTTATAAAAAAAACGGACCGAAATTTATGGACAAAATGTTATTCCAATTTATGGACAAAATGTTATTTGATGAAACTGAAAATGTATGTTTATAATTTGCTTCCTTTCGATATGGGCCCATATCGGACTGTAAACTTCCTGGATTATGCCCCCTCATTGTATGCAAAATTGCGTTTCTAGCTTTAAATCCTCTAGAGGTCTCAATTTTTTTATCCGAATTTTAACCTTTAAATTTTCGTTACCTGTTGATATTAACGCATGCCGGACCGTACGATTCTGGATTATGGTCCCTTATTGTACGAACATCGCTTTTTTAGCTTGTTGTCTGCTCATCTCTTACAAAATGTGGACATGTCTTGTATGGCTTGTTAGGAACTTACGAAGGATAAGGTTATATAGATCGATATCATATTATTTGCCACGTGATATAATGTAAAGTGAAGAAATGTCAGGTTTATCACTAAGTGTTAGCCAATTTAATTTAAAAAGAAGAAATGGCATACACGGTTGATTTATTAGGACTTAAAATACAGATGTGACGTCATCCTTTGATGTTGGCGTACCATTATTTCCAATAATGTACGGGCAAGTTGCCAATCGTACATTATCTATACTAGATGAAATATTGGTCTCGCGTGACGTATTTCATTGAAAAGCACATGCGGGATAGTGTCTGTATTTTAAGTTGTTTAATGGTCTCGAGCTAAAAACATTGCGTAATATAGTGAAACAACACTCGGCTTAAGCCTCGTGAAGTATCAAATATTACTTAATGTTTCGCTCTCCACCATTAAACCATACATACCCATTTAGAAATTTGTTCAAATTCTATCCGTTCTCCCGCCAGTATGACGTCATGTTGTCCAAGGTGACCCAAACTCGGTCATTTCGTTACTAACATATGGTTCAATTTATTTTCAATAATTCGAGATTGATTATGACCCTACTCCTTGTCACGTACAAGCGGAGAAGAAGCCACGCCACTTGACTTGATGACACTTGTGATTTCACGCGCACGCGTTTTGCTAAGTTCATAATAATAAATTTGATTTCAACAGATAGACCATTGCATAATACTACACAGATACAGACTATTGGTACCTACATTCGCCGTTCAGCAGACGTGTATAACGTTACGGGTCCGGGCATCAATGTGAAAGTATGTTCTCCATTTTTATTGGTATTTAAATTGGTTCGTACAGGAGTCGAACAGACCGGATATTGCATTGGTAAGTGTGTATTTTAGCAAGGTTTATGAATAACTTACATTAAGAAATATGTTTTAATAATTCAGTGTCAATGCATTGATTTATATTCGGATAAATAATGAGTGACGCAGTTTCGTTATCTAGACAGTGGGAAGCACCGGTAGCCAGTTCTGGCTTACCTTATACGAATAATAATATGTGGTCATTGTGAAATAGGACTTGTGGCATTTCTGAAAATAATTGTGGATAAATTATTTTACAGGATTTTTAAAAAGACTATAGAAAAATTAATTGACAATTGTATTGAAAATAGACCTGGGACCTCGAAAATATAGCCTTTTCGTCGACGTTTTGGTCTAGAACCGAAGAAGAGCGTTTGAATATACATTATCTGACACAGTTTTCATCACAGTGGGTTAGTTCCCGAAGGAAAATCCGGGGAATGCTTGAATTTATCCTAACATGACACCACCAATGCTTCATACCAAATTTGAAAAGAGTCCGCTACAAACTAGCCTGGTTTCGGCAAACTGGGGAGGGCGAGGTGGTGGTGGTGGAGTAAATCCGAAACGGGAGGTTTAATCCTCTCAAGACCTAAGTGCTTCTCACAAAAGTTGAAAAAGAAATATGTTAGACATTCCGCCTTATGAACGCTTTGCAGGCTACAGTACGTAAATTTGGCGTGAGGCAGTGGGCAAATGAGAGAACAACACTTCTCGATATTCAGCGTTCCGCGAGCTTCTGTCCCGAGTTCTCATTTTGCCGAAACACCTAGGTGGTGTGAAACATTGTGGTCATGCCTCGACGTACCCTATCAAGATTCAGCTGCGTCGTCCTGCTCCCCCCCCCCATTCCATTTGCATGAAACTTTATGGACGCAATAGAGGATACAATTCTTTTCAAGTTTGGTGTGAATCATTGGAGTCATTAAAGAACGAAGCGTGTCAATATTCAGCGTTATAGAGTTACGTCCCTTTAAAAAATAAAAAAAAAATAAAAAAGACTTGTGGGCATAATCAAGGCTTTCCGTGGTCATCGTTTCACCTTGAGTTTATATTTCCCTCTCATAAAAGGTTTAAAACATCCAATCGAAACTTGTGATTTCTCGTTTTGACGTTATCATCCGCTCCATCCAGAAAATATTGGCAACAAGCTAAAGGTCTTCCGGGTTTAAGAAGTTCGCGATTGTTGCGTTTTTTAAATAAACAACAAACGATAAATCGTACCTTTATTTCAGGCACCCTAGAAGGCGGTGGTAAGTTTTTCTTGATTTATCAAAATCCAGATCATAACAGCTCGACACGAACTAGTCTTTTTGGGACTAACAAATGGTTCAATTTTATTTCAATAATTCGCTCGCGCTCATGGACTTTAGCAGTGGGAGGAAACCGGAGGACCCGGAGAAAACCAACGAGGTGGGGCAGGCGACCCTACTCTTTATCACTTACAAGCGGGTAATCTAAACCACGCCAGTTGGCTAAATGAGATACCTTATGATTTCACGCCCATGCGTTAAACCACTAGTCCCACCAACCCCCCTATACATGATTGACGTGTGACATGATCGTAAACAATATATAATATATTGTAAAACATTCTAAATTAATGTCCTTACTTGATCGAGTCCATCAACAGTTTCTTTAGAACATTCTACAGATTAGTATAGACCATTTTGTTTCATTCCATACGATTATCTATAGATGCATTGTTTTTAAGATATACCTGATTTTAAAACCGCACCTACTGTCACCTATGATCAAGATGTGGTGGCATCTGAGGCACAATTCCGGTTCTCCTGCAACTTCCCCGAACCTACAAACGACGTATTATTTTATCAAGCACACTGGTACGTACTTATTGATACAATCACTATAATATTGTGTATCCTACATTACATGGTATGGGTGTGTGTGTGTTCGGGGGGGAGGGGGGTCCAACGATTGCCATAAAGATAATGCAGCGGGGGAATCACATCTTCGGTTTCCATTGTGGTATGGTTGACAGCCGTAGTCTACCTTCTCAGGGTTTTGAAAATAGCAATATATTTGGTGTAACGGGGGTTCGTTTGTCAGCCATGTCCAGGCCAATGTTGATGTTCACTCATACCCCTCGCAGAGTTTCGTTTGATTAATTATAACTAATACCATTCAACACTGGTGGATTTGGTGGTTAACAATCAATCGCGATTTATTTATGTTAACGTAAATGTGTATGATAAAAATCGAAAATACATTACATCACAACACCTAAATTTCGTTCGTTGATGTTTATCGTATCCCTGAAATTTACATGGTCTGCTTCTAAACTGCCGCCGAACTAATACAACAGTATTCTTATCCTGACGACTAATGATAAGTTCCACTCTTTTCCATCCTTGATATTCATTATGAACGGTTGACCAGAGAATAGCAGAATATTGCAGAAAAACATATTGTATGACAAATGGGGATATCAAAAATAGCTGCAACATTAACCATTGGGTAATTGTCACATGTAAAGGCTGTTTATTATCTGCTGGACCAGGGAGAATAATATATTCTTCTCTGAAACGCCGGACAGTTGATTTATGCTGATGTGACTAATGGGGATGAAGATAGCATACAAAAATAAATTGAGCATTTTAGCGACTACAGACCTACACACTAATAATAACTGCAATAAGTTGTTCCGATACTGCTCGCAGTGTTTCATTTGATTCGAGCTAATCCCACTTAACACTGCTGTAATGAGGGCAAATTTCCGTTCCAAATTGTGACCGGTCAGTAGTCCATGTAACAACCAAGAGCTAACTCCGAAACAATATCATTATGCTTTAAACAGAGCTCCAAATTGGACCAAATATGTTTACATAACGTTAAGTCATGACTCACGATTATATTACGCCCAATTAACCAGTGCATAGAATATTGGAGAAGAACTAATTGAGTGACAAACGAGGCTATGTAAACGAATACAATGTAAACAATACTGTTTGGCGGCAAACAATATTTTCACCGTTTTAATACCTTAAATCACTGTCCAAATGTTTAGGTAAGAACACAGATTAAACGAAGGGCTGTCATGTTGCTGTACTTGGGATAGATTTAATTGAACGGGAAGAATAGACACACTTCCTCAAAAGCTCGGGCCATTGCTTTCGGAATATGAGTTGTTCCAGATATCCATGAATCCTTCATATATTGCACTATATAATAATGTATTCCGCCGTATGACAACACGTATCAAGATTCTATTTTGAGTCATGTGTTGGACTTGCGCACTCAAATTCAGAATTATTGCTATTTTGGACAAATTGTTTAAACACTGAGAAATAGGGCATCGGGTGTGTATCATATAGACAGCAACTTCCCAGTCACTACTTTGTTATGGAAGACCATTAGCTCTTTATTCGGTCTTCTTGATTCTTAGTTCTTAATTCATAGTACACTAAAATTAAAATTTGTATCCTAAACTCAATATTTGTTTCACAAATCAGACATTTATCATATCAGATTTGTAAATGATATTTTTGTTTGATTTAAAGATACATTATGGGAGATTAGATAAAGAGCTGACAGCTCTCATTATAATAGTTAACAACTAGATAATGTAAACGGAATTTGCTGAAAATTTCAGTCAAATTGATCCACGATGAACCGCGATTTTGAGCGATTGAAATTTCGGCCTAGCCTCGATCATCATTACTAAAGTCGGTAGGATAAAAAACATAGTCTTGATTATCCACTTCATGATTTAATAATGAACGGAAGTCGAACAGCAAATTGGAACATAATCAAATAAAGATCGCAGCCTAGCGATTCCATTTAGATAACATTTCAGGACTAAAGAAAGACCTACAATATGCAGATTTAGCTCTTGCATAATGTATGTTTAATTGTATTTTAATATAAAGATAATTTAATAAAAAAATAGTCTACATTTACATTTCATCATAGACATACAACGAAAAACAAATCTCGAACAACAAATTTCCAAATACAAATCTTGCAAAACATTTCTCCAAAACAATTTCTCCAAAACCATTTCTCGAAATTCGTCGAACGGGAACATTATGCCGACATGAGCCGAAATCAACCTGGCATACAATAGGTCACCATATAATAATGGAGAACCAAACAAGCATACAATAAGAAAAATCGCTCGAGGACAGTGACTATGGCTAATCCATAGAGTTATGTTTCTATATATATATATTGGTTAATTTGATCGAACATTAAATAAAATAAATTGAAAGTAGTCTATTTTTAGTAATTAGGTTTAAAAAATTTTATAGCGACAGATTTCTTTGGACAAACGAAAGGGTTTTTTATTTTTTCTAAATCATATAATCATGAATGTGCCAGTAAATAACTAATACTCGTGTATTCAAAGAGCGACAGAAAAATACTTTCCGGTGATGCATTACAGGATAACTGGAATCGTGTATTAAGACCCGTATTTTGACTTTTGAATATCCTCCCCACTCACTCAACAGAGTTCAGACGATCTAAATTTTATCTGCTTTAACAAGGTACGTATATATGAATATGTCAGAAAATATTTTAAAATTTTGAAAAGGCATTTGGACCTTTTTAATGGTATACATCCCGATTTCTTGTATCTTGTGTTATGACCCGTATTTTGACGTTAAATACCCCACACCCTCCTCATTTAATACAGGTTAGTGCCATTCAAATTTGTTCTGTTTTCAAGGTATATAAATATAAATGTGCCAGAAAATAATTTACATTTTGTAGCAAGCAATAAATATACTTTCCAGTAGTATATTTTTATAAGCCCTCATTTTCATGTGGACGTATTATATATGCCGTCGCTCCTGTCCGTCCGTCCGTCCACAATTTGTTTGTGGACATTCTACAAGTCACAATTGTTATCCGATTTTGACGAAACTTGAGATATAGGTCTATCTCCCAACGATCTCGGTTCTTGTCCATATTGGCATGTATCTGACCATGGATTATGGCCCCTGATTGTTCGAAAAATCACGCTTTTAGCTTGTGGACACTCTAGATGTCACAATTTTCACCCGATTTTGATAAAACTTGAAATGCATGTTTATAACCCAAAGATCTTGGTTCCCTGCGATATTCGCGCATATCGGATCGTAACTCCCTGACATATGGCCCCTGATTGTACGAAAAATCGCGTTTTTAGCTTGTGGTCCCTCTAGAGGTCACAATTACTATCCGATTTAAACAAAAACGTGTGAATATATCACCGTTACACACTAAGATCTTGGTTCCTTTTGATAATCTCGCATATCCGAACGCAACTTCCTGGATTATGGCCCCTGATCGTATGACAAATTGCATTTCTAGCATGTGGATTCTCTAGAGATTACAATTTTTTTCCGATTTTAAAAACCGTTCAAATATATCACCATTCCACCAAATTGAAGGTTGGATGCGAATTTCGAGAAAATCAAAATGAAACTGCCAGACAAAATGGTCGCTCTTTGTACGCAAATTATGTATATAAGTATATGTAATATAAATGTTGTAGATCCTCTAGAGGTCACAATTTTGATCCGATTTTGATGAAACTTAAAGCAAATCTTTATATCCCAAAGATCTCAGCCCCTTTTGATATTTGCGCATTTCAGACTATAACTTTCTGAATTATGGCCCCTGATTATACAAAAAATCGCTTTGTTTTTAGCTTGTTCTCTATCCATCTCTTGCAAACCGTGGGCGTATCTTGCCTGGCAGCCGCTGGTTTTTTTTTATTAAGATCCGGGTTTTTTTGACATAATAAAGTTTAGTACCGTGAAACTTTGATCTTTGTTCAAGGTATGTAAATATAAATGTGCCAGACAATAACTTGTAAAGCTGTACAGTACTAAATTCAATTAAGTGAAGGGGGAGGGTTGTGGGGTCTTAAATGTCAACATACGGACCACTACGTAATTCCAGATATCACACTGAATACCACCGAAAAGAAATTTCATTTAACTTTTCAAAAATGTAAATTATATTCTGACACATTTAAATTTACATAGGCCTACTTTGAAAAGGGTATTAAAGTTGAGGTGTTTTAAATACATTACTTATTCCATGGAACATTCATGATTACATGATTTAGAAGAGATAAGACGCTCTTTCGTGTGAGAAGTGTTTTCGGAGAACTGTTTTGCAAGATTTGTATTTGGAAATTTGTTGTTCTAGATTTGTTTTTCGTTGTATGTCTGATGAAATGTAAATGTATGCTATTTTTTTATTTTCTAAAATAAATTTTATGTTAAAGGAGCTACATCTTTAATGTTTGGGACCTAGAAATTGACACAAATGGGTCGCAACGCATATAATAATGTAATATGAATGTATATAAACTGATTTACATTCAATCGTTTCCGTTTTTACTCTAATTTCAAATCAGTTATGTTCGGCGAAATACGTCAGAAGTCTCAATCTGGTTGTTGCAGTCTACATAGTATTCATTGCGCACGCTCTGCAGATAGGAATATGCCGTCACCGTTTGACATGACTTGTGGAATATGTCTAGCCTCGTTCTTCGAGTCCCTTGTTAGAAATGGGATTGAAACGCATTATGGTATACGATTCGTGTACCAATGGTAAAATGTTTATTTTGTCTTGAATATTTGACATCAGAAAACCATCTTTTCCCGGTAAGATTACAACATCAATGTTGATTTAAATTGACAAATAATTCGCGTTTTCAATGTCGAAGACTTTGGATGATATTGAGTTAGAGACTTAGCTACTTTAATATTAAACTGCAATTGAATTAAACAAAAATATAATTTACAAATCTGTATGACAAATGTCTCATTTATAAAACAAATATTGACTTTAAGATACAAATGTTAATTTTAGTGTACAAATGTCG